TTTGAAGTCAATCATTTTATTAGGACTAAAAATAGGAAAAAACATAATTTTATGGCCGTAAAATTGGATATCAGCAAAGCGTATGATCGAATCGAATGGGGGTTTCTTCGTCAAGTTTTGATGAGATTTGGTTTCCATGACTCTGTTGTCGAACTTATAATGCTTTGTGTATCTACTGTTACTTACTCTTTTCTTGTGAATGGTTCGCAATGTGGATTTATCCGTCCGTCCCGCGGCCTCCGTCAAGGAGACCCACTGTCGCCATATTTATTCATTATGTGTGCAGAGATTCTGGTGACGATGATTGAGCACGAGAATAATAGGGGGGGCTTGGAAGGGATTAAAATTGCTCCGGGGGCTCCAGTGATATCTAACCTTTGTTTTGCGGACGATACGCTCATCTTCTGTCACGCGAAAGTGAATGCAGCAACTAGGCTGAAATATGTGCTGGAAAGGTATGCTAGAATATCAGGTCAGATTATTAATGTGGATAAATCCTCTATGAATTTCAGCCGAGGAACTTCGGAGGATTTGAAGCATTCCATTCAGCATATCCTTGGCTTTAAAATTGTCGAGGCTCATGACAAGTACTTAGGAATGCCGGCAATGGTTGGTCGTTCAAAAAAGGAAATTTTTAGTTTCCTTCGGGATAGGGTATGGACTAGAATCAAAGGTTGGGGTGAAAAACATTTGTCAATAGCGGGAAAAGAGGTTCTTATTAAAGCCGTTCTCCAATCCATTCCGACATATTTAATGGGTTGCTTTGTTTTGCCCAGTACGCTGATTAGAGATATTGAAATGGCAATCAGGCGATTCTGGTGGGGTGATGGTAGTACTAATAACAAGATGAACTGGATCTCATGGAGTCGACTATGTGCCCCGAAAAACGCTGGAGGAATGGGATTTAGAGATCTAAAGAGTTTCAACTTGGCACTTCTAGCTAAACAAGGATGGCGTCTCCTTATGTGCCCCGACTCTTTAGCGGCGAGACTTCTTAAAGCTCGTTATTATCCAACAACGGAATTTCTGAAAGCAGACCTAGGGGTGCGACCTTCCTCTATTTGGCGGAGTATACTCCATGCTAGACCTTTTCTGGAAAATGGTTTAAGGAAAAGGATCGGCAACGGTAAGTCTACGGCAATATGGGGAGATGCCTGGCTTCACTCAGATGGGGCCTTCAAAATAATTACAAAGCGCCCCATTCACACATCTTTCCCAGATAAAGTGTCGGACCTCGTAGATTATCGCCGGAAAGTGTGGAATGAAAATATTATAAACAAAGTGTTTTGGCAAGTTGATAAAGAGAGGATTTGGCGAATTCCGATAGGTAACTTTGAAGCGGAAGATCGTTATGTCTGGCACTACTCCCGGAATGGGAATTTTGATGTCAAATCATGTTACCATAATACATTTGCAGCTATTCATCATGTTAATGGTGGGGCTAATGGTTCTGGAAGTGGAGTGGAGAGAAAACAATGGAATCTTATTTGGAATATGAAACTTCCCCCAAAAGTTCGTATTTTTGTGTGGCGGGCGTGTAATGGAATTTTACCAACAGCGCATGAATTATATCGGAGAAGAGTAAGTAATAGTGCTGCATGTATTCGGTGTGGTATTACGAATGAAACAATTATGCATGTGATCAGTGTATGTAAGGGGATGGATAGTATTTGGAGCGCTCCACCTTTTGACAAATCTTGTCTTGATCCAGAGATTTCTAACTACTCGACATGGCTCGAACAGTTAATGGGAAAGTGTTCTAGTGACGAAGTTGAGCTTGCGGTAATCTTGAGTTGGAAAGCTTGGCATAACAGAAATCAGGATGTGCATGATTCGACGAGCATGGCCGCCGGAGACATGTTGGCCTGGGGAAAACTCTTTCGCGAGGAATACAATAGGGCAAAGTTTTATGTCCGACAAGATACGACGAGACCTTTTCCAGATTCATGGCGTCCTCCAAACGCTGGCACTATAAAGGTGAATTTTGACGCTGCATTTCCAGTCGGCAAAAATCTCTATAATGTCGCTATAGTAGCAAGGGATTCAAATGGTGAGTGTGTTTGGTGGAGTCGACGACAATTCCTTGGACGTCCAAGACCAGTTGAGGGCGAAGCTAGGGCAGCTTTACATGCGATTATGACGGCCAAAGAGAAGGCATGGCCATCGGTAATTTTCGAAGGAGACTGCCTTGAAGTGATCAGTGCACTTAAGTGTGATGAAGAGAGTTTCTCGACGTACGGCGCTTTGATTCAGGAATGTCGTAGTGTCCTTAATTGCTTTGATAATCATTCGTTCTCTTTTGTGAAACGAAATGGGAATAAAATAGCCCATTGTCTAGCAACATCTGTTGCATCTGTAATCGGTAGGGAAGGGGATAGTCTCCCAACTCTTTTGGCCCAAGATGCCTAATTATAATTCTACATTTTATCAAAAAAAAAAAAAAAAAAAAAAAGCTTAATTTATTTTCTGTCGTATTGAAATATATCAGTAAAGTAATCGTTAATAAGATATGTAAAATGACAGTTTAGGGCTCTTAAGTGTCCGATCGCCGCATTTATTTTAAAGGTATATTCATATATACGAGTAATTCTAGTAATAAATACTTATGATATGTTACTCAAGGTATAATATAGATAGAAAAGTTGTTATATAAATAATAATAGTTTTCTCGTATTTTTATTTTAATGATTTTGTACAATTTTATACTATATATATTATACAAATTGATCAATTATAATTAATATTTGTATGCTTCATAAATTTCATATTTATTTAACAGCAAGCCTGTAAATTATATAAAAACATGTATTTAATTAAAAAATTTAAAGTTTTATTTAGATAATTAATTAAATAAAAAAGCGAAATAGTGATAATTTATTTATGGCCGCGGCTATATGCAATACTCAATCCACTTGTGCAAGACCAAATTAAAGAAAGATTCCAAAAGATTCTATTTTATTAAGATGGAATGACAAGTATGCCCATCAATTAAATTGGCTTTTTTTCTCATGTAAGACCAAATACAAATAATGAGAGAAAAACAAAAATCGACACCAAGGTGTCGAAAAACTATGCTACAAATCGACACTTAAGCGTCGAATTTCATAGGTAAAAATCGACATTGACATGTCGAATTTATAGCACAAGTTCAAATGTCGAATTTTATACCTCAAAATCGACATCTAAATGTCGAATTTTATACCTCAAAATCGACATCTGAATGTCGATTTTTAGCTGTAAAATTCGACCTGTACATGTCGAATTCGTTTGCGCGGGATTTTTTTTGGAAAATCGATATTGTAGCTAAAAAAACCCATAAATGCATACATTCTTGGGTTTTTCCATCGTAGAATCTTCTATTTTGATGTCCCCTGACTCCATACTTGCCATCTTTGTAAGATTTGTTGAGTTTTGATGATTTTGAATTTCTAGGTTTTGTGGGTTAATGGAGGAGGAAGGAGAAAGGTCTTGTGGGTTTTGAAAGATGGAGAAGATGATAGTTGATCTTGTGGTTTTGTGGTCTTGTGATAGGGTTTTTTGTGTTTTTGAATTTTTGGTCTTGCATATTTGGAATTTTTTATTTTTTTAATAAATAAGGGTATTATAGTATTTATACATTGAAAATTTTAATTTGGTCTTACACAAGTGGAATTAGTCTTGCATATAGCCGCAGCCTTTATTTATTTATTAGAGTTATATGATTTTGAAAGAATTAAAACCATAGGGTTGTTGCCTTCTTGGTCCAAATATGTGATAGAAGCCCACGAGATTTTGGGCCTTAAGTCCAAATTCATATCGTGAGACAATTGACTAGTCTAGGTGTCAAATTTACGCGTTTTTTTTTGTAAATCTCACTTAAAAATGTTAATAAGAATTATTTTATTAATTATTAATTTATATAATTATCGATGTTGAATTATGTTGTAAGCATATTTGTCAACTTTCAATGATGCCAATTTATGAAACATAAATTTAAGTAGTTTAATAGGGCCTTTTTAGTATATACACTAGCATCATGTTTATCCGATGCACAATAAATACATATTTCGAATTAATGATTGAACAAAATATGATTATAATAAAATTCGTCTACAAGATAAATCGCTATCTCTTAGCACCACCACGACACCGATTCTTGTCATTTTTCCTAGCCCCCCATGCCGTGACTTCGGCTTTGAGTGCGATGAATGAGTGGAAATCATCACCGATGAACTTTTCAAAAGAGTGTTGCAACGACCTTTTATTCCTTAAATGGCGAGGGGACAGTTGCTAGTTGATACATTAGGCGCTTTCTACGGCGAGTGACAAAAAAGATTCCACTCTTTAGTGGCAAAGAAAGTTCTTTCCAGAGACGAGTTTCATGCCTTCTACTATCTACATAGATATAATCTGTTTGGTCTTACTTTTCGTTTGAAATAGTATCTTGTAAGTCGGGTTCCTCTTAGCTCCTTGCTTTCCACCGTCATTGGGCTGGGCTTCCCGGATCCCCTTTCTTCGGTACCGACAAACTACTAGACGGTAATGAAAGATTTCCACTCAGTCAATATCCATTAGCTGAGGACTTTCTCAATGCGGTTGGTTTTCTTTCACACGAGGCTTTTTAACCGGAGAAAGGAATGTTGCACACACTTTCAGAATTTACGAAGAGAATCTTGCAGAGTGCGGAGTTTATGCGCGGTTGTGGGATGGGTCCTCCGACTCCCACTCTTTTTGAACAAAAAATCAAATTTAAAGCATCACAATTCCCCTAGGGTTTATAGAGAAAAAACCAGCATGTGGCAAAATTTTAGGCAATGTATTATCTTTTTATATATATATATATATATATATATATATATATATATATATATATATATATATATATATATATATATATATATATATATATGAATTTGAAAAGTCAAATAATTCAAAGTTAATGACATCTTAGTAAGTAATTTAAAGCATATAAATACATCAAATAATGAAATATAGATTTAATTTTCACCAGTAAATTCAAAACTAGATGGACTAGAAATGGAAATACCAATATCATTTGTGCTCCAATAAATAGTATTACTGAAACCCTAGGGACTACATATGCAATTAAATAACCCTTAGGAAAATTAAAATATGAACGCAAATACAAATACAAAGAGTTGATTTTCGCGGTCATTACCCCCAAAATAAAAAAAACAAAGTAAAGTTATTCTTCGTCCCACCCTCTCTCTCTCTCTCTCTCTCTCTCTCTAAACGCTCTCGCTTTCTCGCCAAACATCTTGCGATAATCATCCTCCATAGATTTCGTATCTGAAGAATTCTCGAATGCGTTGAATTAAAATTACTTGAAAGGTAAAAGAGGTAAACAACCCGTGCTCTTTTTGCCGTTATTTTGTTCGTAATGTGGGTTTTAACAATTTGAATTTGAGTTTTAGATGGTTGGGGTTTTAGTTTTTTTTTTAAAATTATTTTTTATTTCTCCTTCTGTTGGTGATTCTCCTATTATATCTGATTAATGATGTCGTTTCTTACATTAAAAAAATTTGTTTGGGCTGCGAATTTATTGAATTGTTTTGGTATCTGGATTTGGTCAGTTACTTGTAATTTTTTTTTCATGCGCGAGTGATATTTCTGGAAACTTGTGAAGATCTTCGATACGAGTATTTGAATTATGCAAAGCGATTTATACTCAGGAGTATTTGGATTATGTGTGTCTGGAATCTGTGCATGTTGTCCTATCCGGTGTTCAATGTAAAATTGGACTTGTTATTTGGTTCAAATTTGAATTTTAAGTTATAATCTTGTCATTGATTTTTTTTTGTTTGAAGTTATTCTCAGGAACTGATTACTTTCTGGCCGATTCTATGTGTAGATTTTCCCTTTCTCGTGGTATAATAACTGCCTTTTCGGATTGTTTGGAATTGTACTGTTGATATTTTTTCTATTTACGTATCTCACACGGTTTAATTTCAACTCTAATTTTCAACCTAATCTTATGCGGTGGAAGTGGGTTTCCATATACGTGTTTGCTTTTCTTTTTTTCGGCTGTCTTTCGGTTTTTCTGTGGTTGTAATGGAGCAGTTCTGGATGTAAATTTATTTGGTGCCTTTATACTTGTGATTTGGGGACTGTTCGAATGGCATGTTGTCAAATTAATTTATGGAGAGAAACTAAAATGTGATACTTCATGATTATGATTACTGTGGTTCAACTAATAAGTATAAGGAATTTCAACATTTTCCATCTTTTCAATGGACCTTAACTTTTATTATTTGTTTATAATTTCCTGATCACTTTGCCACTTCTGTCTTTTTTTTTGGTTCAGGATAATGGGGCCGCCAAGAAAATCTAAAAGTGTTTATAGACGGTATACTGATGAAGTAAGTCCCTGCAAAGATGGTGATAGTGCTAAAAGAAGCAATAACCGGGTGAGATTTCTGGTGTAATTTTTCAGTTTGCTGTAGTAAATGAATTGTATAGACTAACTACTTGCTCAAGCAAAATGTGTCTTCAATGGTTATCTTTGTCTTGACGGTTCCATGGTTCTCTTTCTTTTGTGTGTGCATGTGTGTGTGTGTGTGTGTGTGTGTGTGGTTTCTGATGAAGCAATGACCTAAGAGAAACGTATATCTCAAAGTCTTCATCACTTATCAAAACCTCCTCAAATTGTTACTGAAATACGTTACATTATTTTCTTGCTGTATAAGATTTATTTTATCTTAGTTTATGTTTATGTTCCCGTTGTGGCCCATAAAACAGACTTGCCGATGATAGAATATTGTGCGTACGAATTATTGAACAATTTGCACATATACAGGCTGCTACTTTAGTTTCATTTGTTATGTATGCAACACTCACAAACAAAAAGAGCTATTCAGTCTAGTGAGCGAAATTTGTAAGACCATGAAATTATGAATTAAGGATATTTGTCTCTTGAGTTCTTTCTTCTTATAGTAAGCTGCCAGATACAGCCTCATGTCCCTGAGAATTATGTAATGCCATGTATGGTTGTTTTGTTCTTTTCTGTATAGTTAGCTCAAAGAACTGATGGTTGTGCATCTTTACAGCAACACACTTACCATGTTCTCTCTCTTAAAATTTTCAGAAAAGAAAGTCGTGTAACATGCTTGGGCCTCGATGGACCACAGAAGAGCTAACTCATTTTTATGATGCTTACCGGAAGTATGGTAAAAATTGGAAAAAGGTTGGTTGAACTTTATCTTAAAGCAGTTCACAAAGATTTACTTGCAAGAATGGTATGAATTTGTTAATTAAAAGTTGTTCCTTAAAAGTTAAAAATGATCTGATCTTTCTAAAGTTTCTCTGATCACCTATAATAATAAAATCACAAGCAGAGTTGATGCCATGGAATAATCAGGGTTTGCATACTGTATGAAATATTCAGTTTGATTGCAAACAGTTTGACTTTTGCTATGATCTGTTTACAGGTTGCAAATGCTGTGAGAACTCGATCTTTGGAAATGGTGGATGCCCTTTACAAAATGAATAAGGTAAATTTGATTTTTATATTTTCAACATTAATGATTAGACCACTTCTTTTTTATTTCGACAGATCAATCTTAGTTCATCAATTGAATCCCGTAGTTACTGCACGTAGCCATTTTATGACCTGATAGCACAACCCAACAATCTTATTCATCAATTATAAAAAAAAAAAAAATTTTATTCATTATATCTCTTCAGAATTAATTGTGAAATAACAGCATAGTTGTCACTTCAGAGTTTGGACAACAGCAGCTCGTAGAACAGTAAAATAAAAAAAAATAAAAAAATAAAGTACAATTAATAAAATTTTGGGAAGTCTGTTCGTATGCATAGTAGCAAGACAGAACTGGACAGTCTGTTACATGAATAGCTTTGTCATTCAGTTCTGGCTATATAGACCACCTAATTACTACTGGAATCTGCTTTATTACTGTGCCAAGAAATTATTGGACCCAACTGATAGACTGGTCTTTTATATTCTAACCAGGAAGAATCTGTAACTCTATATTTTCAGCGTGGCCTACATTTTTAACATCGGTACTAACCACTTTATCCATATAAGGGCTGACCACAGATGATACTAATCTGAGCTCTGGAATGTGAAAATTTTCACGTTAAATAAAATACCAAATTAGGCTCAGCATGGTCATGCTTAAACTATAACTGAAGTGTTTCTTAATTATTTTCATCTCTTTATTTCAGGCGTACTTAAATCTTCCACATGGAACCGCTTCTTTAGATGGGCTGATTGCTATGATGACTGATCAATACAGCAATATGGTGAGATTATTTTAATTCAGATAGCAAGTTGAACATCTACAAACAACAATTCTGCTGCCAAATTCATGTTGCGACTGCTGAAAAAGTTGCTTAATATATGAGTTTCTGTCAAAGATGTTGGTACATGCTGTTAGGATTTGTTTAAGTCGTCATTTTATGCTTAGATCTCCAGTTCAGGTGCTTCTCTGACCATACCTTGGAACTAAAATGACATTTTGTTTGAAAAGACACTAGGAATTAAAATGACATTTTGTTTGAAAAGACCCTCTGGAGAATTGTGAAAGAATTTGGAGTCCCAATAACGCATAGCTTATCATTGACTTCCTATTCTCCATGCCATTATTCAAATTCTGCAACTATACAATAATTAGAATCAGTTGACTCTCGGTAGCATCTGCAGCTCATAAATTTTAGGCTTGTGTATATGGAAACTCACAGACCTTTCAGGTTAAGTTATGTATATGTCAGTTATCTTCTAAATTTGGTAAATAAAGTTGTTGCCTCTTATGATGCATGGGCGCACTAACTCAAGTATTCTTGGCTTGACAGGCTGGAAATGACAGTGACCAAGAAAACAATGAGGGAGAAGGATCGTCTAGAAAGCCTCAGAAGCGTGCTCGGGGCAAAGTTCAGCCTACAACCTCTAAAGCATCTAACGATCAATTTATTTCACATTCACAGACTGCCCCATCAAGTTATGGTTGTCTGTCACTGTTAAAGAAGAAACGCTCGGAAGGTATATCAAAACAATGCCATCGAGTTCTGGAATATGACTGGTCGTGCTTAAAATAACTTTGTTTGGCTCCGTGTGTCTTTCCTGAAAAGCTTTATCGTTTATATCTTAGTCCGCGAGCATGTTAGCTAAGTAATATACAAATACTTATAACTAGTTACAGTTTCCAGAATATTTACATGCCTTCTGTCGATTATGGATTTTTATTTTAAATAATAAAATGGCCTCATAAATTGGCCTACAACCAAACCCGAAAGGAATAGAACCCTTAACCTAACACTACCCTCCCCACCCTTCTCTGGATTATGGATTTAAGCATAAAATTCTCTGGATTCTTTTAGTTAACTGCACCAACAATAGATTGTTCTGGTGTTTATGTATTGACTTTTCTTCAGGAAGCCGACCTTGTACTGTTGGGAAAAGAACGCCAAGGTTCCCTGTTTCATTTTCATATGAAAATATTAATGGCGAAAAATATGTTTCTCCTACCAGACAAGGCTTGAAACTCAAGGCTAATGCTAATGATGATGAAGTAGCTCACCAAGTAGCCATAGCTCTGGCAGAGGCATCGCAAAGAGGTGATTCTCCCCAGGTTTATCAAACACCAATTAGAAGAGCTGAAAGTGTTACGCTGTCACCTTTTAGGCTTGGTAAAGGAAAGGTAATGGTTTGACCTGGTTTCCAGAAACAATATTTCTGTCACCCGACTTATAGATCTACTCCTTGTTACAGCATTCCCTAGCAGAAATGGCCAATACCAAGATCTTGACTGCTGATATGGATGAAGAAGATTTAGAAGGAAGCCCAGAGGCTGGTACTGGTGAATTGTGTAGGGTTAAGTCTTATAGGACGGAATCATTAAGTGTTGTTACAGTAAGAGAAAAGGCGAAAACACTAGAAGCGAAGAAGTTTGAAGTTGATAATAATAGTGAGAATTATTTGTATGACATCAAGGAAGAATGTAGTGGAACAGAAGAAGGTCAAAGGTTTGGTGCAACGAGAGGCAAGCTTTATGACGCCAAGATATGTAGGTCTTCTAGGCAGAGTCAGAGAAAGAAGAGCAAAAAGGTTTTCTTGGAAAAAGGTATGGAAATCTTTTCATTTCTTTCTTATGTATTTTAAGAAATTCTCTCTCTCTCTCTCTCTCTCTCTCTCTCTCTCTCTCTCTCTCTCTCTCTCTCTCTCTCTCTCTCTCTCTCTCTCTCTCTCTCTCTCTCTCTCTCTCTCTCTCTCTCTCTCTCTCTCTCTCTCTCTCTCTCTCTCTCTCTCTCACTCTCACACACTCACACTCTCACTCATATACTTATCTCACTCATTTCTTTCTATATATATATATATATATATATATATATATATATATATATATATATTTTTTTTTTTTTTTTTTATATATATATATATATATATATATATATATATATATATATATATATATATATATATATATATATATATATATATATATATATATATATATATATATATATATATATATATATATATATACCCACGTA